TTTATATAACGTGGAATTGCACACGTGTATTGTGGAATGTATAATAATTTTTCAACTACTGTTGATTGCTCATTTGTAAACTTAATATCACATATTGTCGTTCACGGCAATCCAATAAATTGGTACTGTATCAAGGCAGTCATTTTAACATTTTGTCAGATTTGTCCTTCCTATATTCATATTTTATGACGAACATAGACTCTTCTCTATGTGCATGACCTGAGGTTTGCCATAGACCGGTTATCTACACAATTGTTCTGAAAAGTGCCACATCTCGCGTCACTTCAGTGAAAAAATAAAATATAACTATAGAAATATATTGAATTCATGTGAATACAGTTTAACTGTACTCTTTGTTGATGGAGAAGTTCCTGATAAAGTTGAATGGTATAAAGAAATAATTTTGTTCCCACTGATCGAAATATCGTACACGCTCACATTGGCGAATATGAAACAGTTAGTGAAGAGAAGAACATCATCTCTGTGCTGATGATAGCGAATAAGACACATTCGAATAGGTTTAACAAAACTGTCAGGACATCACCTGATTGATCTCTTTGACTTAGGTAGGTTTAGCTAAAATAATGAAATTACACATTCAAATTATCGACAGTTTTACTGTATGCTTCCATCAAAGAGTGCATCCTACCTCAAAAGAATCACTGAAATGTTTAAACAAAGCGAAAACAATCTATTCTGTATATAATATGTTATCAACGACACTTGAGTGATAAAAGTATAGTACCTACCATCGGAGTCATACACATTGACTTCAAGGTCAAATGAAGGTATAATTGACAGTTATGGATACAGTTGGTAATGATCATATATTTAACAAACTAATAATTATTTAAGCGTAAGCTTTAGACAATAACACATCATCTGAGTTCCTACCAAGAGGAAAATGCATTACTCTAATACAGATTCAAAATCAATATTTCTCTAATATTTCATTACAAAACCGAACTGACTAGTATATATAATATAGTTATTTAGGTAATAAATCAAAGTCGCCACACTTGAAGACAATTAATAAACTTGAATAGTAAATGGTGATTTGTTATTATTTGAAAGAGAATGAATTATTGTAGTTATCAATCTAATTTGAAGCTTGGCCTTGACAACCGTTTTACGCTCGGCGAGGTATATGTTGTCACACTTTTATCAATCATCATCATTATCGCATAATTGCTTTAGATATTGATGTTGAATTAGGGCGGTGATCAAAATCAAACCAGCGGTTCCGGTAACAACGGAGCTCCGCGCAATATGCAAATTTATGCAAGAATATTCATGAGCTGACAATTCATTGTTTTTAAACATCTTGGCAGTGTCGCTGATTGATTGTAAAATCGAAGTTTGCGTCCCCTGCTAATGTAGGATTCAAATATTATGTGCTACTCCCACAAGATATGGCACTTGAGACACGGTATTACAATTCGAAATTGCATATTATTCACACATTTGTGGAAAGTTGACACAAATTACTGTTATTGTATTACTGTTATTTAAATATATTAACATGACATATTGTTAACAGCACAGTACACAACAAAATATTAACAAACAGTAATGAATGCTGATTATAAGAGGGTGTCATTATTGACAGCGTGACTGTTGACCATTTATCTATGATCACCGCTAACACAAAGGTTGTTATGAGTTTATTAGATTGAGGTTTTGGAAAAAGCTGATGCGTGTTTAGTAATATTAAGAAACAAATTTGACTTGTCCGAGGTGAATCTAACTAGTCTAATTGAAAAATATAAAGCAATGTATTCATTCGGTAGTACCCCCCCCCCCATATAATGGTGAAACATTATTAAAATTAAATTTAAATAAACAATTAAAATATTACACAGGGTAATGCTTTCTCAAATTGTTACAACGCTTGTTGTGCAGCATAATATTATTTAAGTGCGCCCTCATCGTCATCGAAAATAAATTAATTGAACTGTAAACCAGTAAGCAAATATATAAAAATGAAGCACTCTAGGGTGATTTTTCTCTGTATGACAGTAACAGGTAAATCGCAACTTATAAGTAGGTGAAATATTGACCAAGGTATATATCATGACTTGCATTTAAAAGAGAGAATATTATAATTGCGTTTAAGGTTTCGTCTGCGGGATAGTGGGACAGGAAGTTTTATTTCGCGAAACACCAAAAGACACACTGGTAATTAAGGGAGACAATACACAGCTAAACTGTAGCTTTGAAGACTATGGCGTTCCCGACGTCGTCGCGTGGTATAAACAGGCAACTATGCTGTCAATGAACAGGCAACTTACTTCAGCTGGAGAGGGATATAATATTACTGGTACTGAAAACGAGTATCACCTCCGAAT